ATAAGCAAAAAGAAAAAAGCCGAAAGTGGTGCTGTGACTCAAGTGGTAGAGTGCTAGCCTTGAGCTGAAGAGCTGAGAGACAGCATCCAGGCCCAGAGGTCAGGCCCCATGACCGGACCCCCCCCCAAAAAAAAAAAAAACACTAAACAGTTGCGGGGAGCTGGTGGCTCATGACTGTAATCCTAGCTACTGAAGAGGCTGAGATCTAAGGATCACAGTTCAAAGCCAGCCCGGGCAAACATCCATGAGACTCTCATCTTCTATAAACCACCAGAAAAACGGAAGTGGCACTGTGGTTCAAGTGGTAGAGTGCTAGCCTTGAGCTGAAGAGTGAAGGGACAGAGCCCAGGCCCAGAGTTCAAGCCCTACAACCGACAACAAAAACAAAACCCAAAAACTAAACTTGCCAACACATCAGATACAAACAGACCATTTATTTCTTAGTTTAAGTAAGAGTTGCTAGGTTGGAGAGGTGGCTCAGGTGGGAGAGTGCCAGCCAATAAGCAAAAGTTTATTCAAGTCCATGTCTCAAACAAAAATAAAATATAAGGAAGAAAGAAGAGGTGAGGACAAGTTGCAGAAAAGCTGTTTACCGGTGCTGGGACTGTAGTCTTTCTAGTGGCTCGGCCTTTCGTTGAATTCCTTCTTGAAATATTGCATCTGCTTTCTTAAAGTTTTCTCTGGCTTCATATTCTTCGGCCCATGAGATGTAGAACTGAGCAAGTGAAACTCCAATCCCTTGATGGTGTAAATAACTATACATATCCAAAGGCTCATTGCATAAATGCCCCTGTAACAAATAGAAGGGGTTGACAGTTAACCAAGTCTTGCCTGTTATGTACAAGACAATGCCTGCAGATACTACATTCATTTCCTGCATTGAAGAAAATAATATAGGGCTGGGAATGGCTCAGTGGCAGAATGCTTGCCTTGCATGCATGAGGACCCAGGTTCGATTCCTCAGCACCACATAAGCAAAAAGAAAAAAAAGCCGGAAGTGGCGCTGTGGCTAAAGTGGTAGAGTGCTAGCCTTGAGCTGAAGAGCTGAGGGATAGCACCCAGGCCCAGAGTTCAGGCCCCACAACCGGACCAAAAAAAAAAAAAAAAAAGAAAATAATCTAATAGCATAAAGGATGTACTTGGAAGATCCACAAAAGGAACAAAAATTAGAGTTCAAAGAAATAAGGATGGGAAACAAAGGGTGACATTTGAGCTTTGGCCTTGAAGGAAAAATGGACTTTGATCAGGTGTAGAATAAGAAGGAAAGGGCATTCTAACCAGAGAAAAGCAAGATAGGAGGTCAAAACTATATTGAGGTCCAGGCAAGAGGAGAATCTTAAGAAATAGGCTGAGATAGGTCTATAAATGTCAAATTAATCTATTTTGAATTTACTCAGTAGTGTATATATGCTTCAAATGGTATAGTCGTAAGTAAGGGAAAGACTTGGCCAAGTTTGTATTTAAAAAGGGACTTAGAGCTAGGTGCTGGTGGCTCATGCCTATAATCCTAGCTACTCAAGGAGGCTGAGATCTGAGGATGAAGCCAGCCCGGGCAGGAAAGTCTGTAAGACTTTTTATCTCCAATAAACCACTCAGAAAACCAGAAGTGGCACTGTGGCTCAAGTTGTAGAGTACTCACCTTGAGCTGAAGAGCTCAGGGACAGCACGGCCAGGCCCAGAGGTCAAGCCTCATGACCGACCAAAAAAAGAAAAAAGGACTTTCAGCCAGACATGGTAGGGTATGCCAGCAATCAGACTTGGGAAGCAGAGACAGAAGGATCTCAAGTTGGAGACCAGTCCAGGAAAAGCTATCAAAACTTTATTTCAGGGCTGGGAAGGTGGCTCAGTGGTAGAGCGTTTGCCTTGCATGCCTGAGGCCCTGGGTTCGATCCCTCAGCACCACATAAACAAACAAAAAAAAAAAGCCCAAAGTGGCACTGTGACTCAAGTGGTAGAGCACTAGCCTTGAGCTGAAGAGCTGAGGGACAAAGCCCAGGCCCCGAGTTCAGGCCCCGTGACCAGACCCAAAAAAAAACAACAAAAAAACCCCCAAAACTTTATTTCAGAAACATAGTCACTAGAGATCACAAGGATTGTGGTTTGAGGCAAACCCGAGGAGAAAGTTTGTGATACCTCATCTCAATCAATAAATGGGAGTGGTGGTACAGGCCTGTCATCTTAGCTAACCTAGAGGCTGAGATTTAGAATCATGGTTCCAGGCCCACCTGGACACAAAAAGCGTGGCTATAGTGGTATGGGCCCTATCAATTATTCTAATTATGGGGGGAGGGAACCATAGAGAATGATCCAGACCACCATCAACAAAATCAATAACCACAGTAAAAAAGAGCTGTAGACATGACAAACAGTTATAGCATCTGCCTAGCAAGCATAAAGCACTGAGTTCAAAACCTTAGGGCAGCTGGGAAGTTGGCTCAGTGGTAGAGTGCTTGCCTTGCATGCATGAGACCCTGGGTTCGATTCCTCAGCACCAAATAAGTAGAAAAAAGCTGGAAGTGGTGCTGTGGCTCAAGTGGTAGGATACTAGCCTTGAGCAGAAGAGCTGAGGGACAGCACCCAGGCCCAGAGTTCAGCCCCCACGATCAAAACACAAAACAAAAACCTTAGTACCATTTACTCAAAAGACAAAATATAGAAATAAAAGGGCTGGTGGGAAAAAAAAAAGAAAAGAAATAAAAGGTCTGGGGTAGCCAGGTGCTGGTGACTCACGCCTGTATTCCTAGCTACTCAGGATGCTAAGTTCTGAGGATTGCGGTTCAAAGCCAGCCTGGGCAGGAAAGTCCGTGAGACTCTTATCTCCAATAAACCACTCGAAAACCGGAAGTGGCACTATGGCTCAAGCAGTGGAGTGCTCGCCTTGAGCTGAAGAGCACAGGGACAGCGCCCAAGCCCAGAGTTCAAGCCCCATGACCGACCAAAAAAAAAGAAGGTCTGGGGACATAGCTCAAGTGTTAAGAGTCCTTGCCTAACATTAGAAAGATTCTGAGTTTGGGCTGGGAAGGTGGCTCAGTGGTAGAGCGCTTGCCTTGCATGCTCGAGGCCCTGGGTTCGATTCCTCAGCACCACATAAGCAAAAAGAAAAAAGCCGAAAGTGGTGAGTGGTAGAGTACTAGCCTTGAGCTGAAGAGCTGAGAGACAGCACCCAGGCCCAGAGTTCAGGCCTCACAACCGGACCAAAAAAAAAAAGATTCTGAGTTTATGGGGCTGGGAAGGTGGCTCAGTGGTAGAGTGCTTGCCTTACATGCATGAGGCCCTGGGTTTGATTCCTCAGCACCACATAAACAGAAAAAGCCGGAAGTGGCGCTGTGGCTCAAGTGGTAGAGCGCTCACCTTGAGCTCAAGAGCTCAGGGACAGTGCCTAGGCCAAGAGTTCAGGCCCACGACCAACCAAAAAAAAAAAAAAAAAGAAAGATTCTGAGTTTAATCTCTGGTAATGCTAAATATATACATATATAAATAGGGACTTTGTGAGATCAGACATAATGTAGACAATTTTAGTAGGAAAGAATTCTCACACTATAAACATTTTGTTGGGGCTGGGAATGTGGCATAGTGGTAGAGTGCTTGCCTAGCATGTATCAAAGCCCTCGGTTCAATTCTTCAGTACCACATAAACAGAAAAAGCTGGAAGTGGCGCTGTGGCTCAAGTGGTAGAGTACTAGCCTTGAGGAAAAGCAGATCAGGGACAGTGTCCAGGCCCTGAGTTCAAGCCCCAGGACTGGCAAAACAAAAAAAAATTTGTTGTATTTCTTCATTTTGACATTATCACTTTCAGTTTTGTCACAGTAAAATTTCATTTCTTTCCACTTAACAGTATATCATTCATTTTTCTTTTTTATTTATATAATTCAATTTTTTATTTGGCCATAAGTTCAATATCACAAAACATATTGAAATGGAAGTTTAAATAGCAAGTCCAGGGTTGGAGGTGTAGCTCAGGTGGTAAAGTGCCAATCAATGAGCAAAAGCAAACTTTAAATATCAAGTTTGAATTCTGGTCTTGGACAAAAGAAAAAAGATGGGGAAACTTTACAATTTAGGTGGGGAGAGGGTGAAGGGGACAGTGTAGTTGTGGAGGTGGGAGGGAAAGGAGGGTAGGGGAAAAACAAAGGAGGAGATAACAATGCTTGATAGGAAATGTACTCATGACCTTGGCTCATGTAACTGTAACCCCTCTGTACAGCATTTTTACCAAAAAAAGTATTTTTTTTTAAAAAAAGAAAAAAGATGGGGAGAGAGGAGATGGAAGGGGAAGGGTGGAGAGGGAACAAGTTCATATTTGGAATAAACAGTAAGGGTTATAATTTGAATTACCGTTTCTAATACAACAGAAGCATAATTTGTCATTCCACTAAACAAGTAGAAAACAATCTCCAGCCGGGCGCTGGTGGCTCACGCCTGTAATCCTAGCTACTCAGGAGGCTGAGATCTGAGGATCGCGGTTCAAAGCCAGCCCGGGCAGGAACCGTGAGACTCCTATCTCCAATAAACCACCAGAAAACTGGAAGTGGCGCTATAGCTCAAGTGGTAGAGTGCTCGCCTTGAGCTGAGGGACAGCGCTCAGGCCCAGAGTTCAAGCCCCACGACCGACAAAAAAAAAAACAATCTCCAGCGGCTAGGAATGTAGCTTAGTGGTAGAGTACTTAACTAACGTGTATGAAGCCTTTGGTTTGATTCCTCAGTATTACATCAACAGAAAAAGCTGGGAGTGGTGTTGTGGCTCAAGTGGTAGAATGCTAGCTTTGAGCAAAAGAAGCTCAGGGATAGTGCCCAGGCCCTGAGTTCAAGTCCCAGGACTGGCAAAAAAAAAAAAAAAAGAAAGAAAGAAAAAGAAAAAGATACAATCTCCTGCACCAGTATTTTATGCCTGAACTACCAGAACCACGACAGAACTACTGAAGCACTGTTCCGTGTTCCAAGTCACAGTTTCTTAAAACAAATACTAAAAGGGAGGTTGGTATATAATAAGGTTATCAGGAGACTGCTGGGATAAAGGGCCAATTTTATTGCATGTACATTTTATTGTGGACTGATATATATGTATACTTTTTAACTGTCACTCTTTTCTTCAACATAAGTTTATTGTTATTATTAAGGTGTTATACAGAGGGGTTACTATTTCATAAGTCAGGTAATGAGTATAATTCTTTTTTGGACAATGTTACTCCTTTTGCTTTCCTGGGCAGATACATTTTTGTAAAATATAATAAACACAGAAGTTACTAAAAAAGGATGCTGTGCATAGACATACTATCTCAGTCAAAGAAACATCTTTTGTTTTTTGTTTATGGCACAGGGTCTTACTGTGCTGCGACTCAAGAGTGTCTTCAAACTCACAATCCTGTCTCAGCCTCCCAAATGCTGGGATTATCAGGATGAACTATATCTAGCTCAAACTGTTAACCAAAGTTTCTAAATGCTTACTCTCAATTATTGTACTTATTTTAAACTTATCTCAATTGTACATTCCTTCAGTGATCTAAAAGATGTCTTAGGTTTTTGGGGGTGGGAGTGGGACTGAGGAACCCAATGCAAGCATTCTACCACTGAGCCTTAGATATGTAAAAAGCATGACAGTGTCAGTGTTCTTTATTACACCAGGTCGATGTAAATGAATAGAAAAAGTATTCTTGTTACTTTTAATAACTCCAATTATAACCATCAGACTCCTAGGATTAAGTTACTTTAGCGGCTCATCTATTCTAACATTTGAATTAATTACATGTTAGAATATTGGATAAGATGAAGAACAAGCCAGGCACCGGTGGCTCATGCCTGTAATCCTAGCTACTCAGGAGGCTGAGATCGAGAATCACAGTTCAAAGCCAGCCCAGCCAGGAAAGTGCCTGAAACTCTTTATCTCCAATAAACCACTAGAAAAGTGGAAGTGGCGCTATGACACTCGCCTTGAGCTGAAAGGTGAGGGACAGTGCCCACACCCAGAGTTCAAGCCCTATGACTGACAAAAAAAAAAGATGATCAAAACAAAATCTACTGGTGTGCCCCATGGAATCACAACCTCCAACCTAGTAAATCCATTAGCATTTGGTGCTCATCCTGGAGTTTGAACTCAGGGCCTGGGTACTGTCCCTGAGCTTTTTTGCTCAAGGTTAGTGCTCTACTACCTCAGCTCCGCTTTCAGATTTTTGTTTATTGGTGATACTCTCATCGACTTTCTTGTCTGGGCTGGCTTTGAACCACAATCCTCAGGTGTCAGCCTCCTGAGTAGCTAGGATTACAGATAGTAAGCCACTGGTGCCTATCGAAACATCATTTAAGCTGGAAATGTGGCTTAGTGGTAGAGTGCTTGTGTAGCACGCATGAAGCCCTGGGTTTGATTCTTTAGTACCCCATACACAGAAAAAGCCAGAAGTGGCACTGTAGCTCAAGTGGTAGAGTGCTAGCCTTGAGCAAAGGAAGCTCAGGGACAGTGCCCAGGCCCTTGAGTTTAAGCGCAGGACTGGCAAAAGATAAAAAGAAACATCATTTTAACATCGTTTTGGTTTTTTAAGTGGTGATGATTCTAATAAAGATTAGGGATACTAAAACTGTGAGGAAGTTTTACCCCACTACCAAGTAAGTGCTGGTGCCAGCATGACCCTTCTGGTAGTTATATAGCCCAATATTTAAAAAAAACACAACACTTACTCAATGAGACATCTATACACCTTATAATCAGTCTTTTTTTTTTTTGGTCGGTCATGGGGCTTGAACTCTGGGCCTGGGCGCTGTCCCTCAGCTCTTCAGCTCAAGGCGAGCACTCTACCACTTGAGCTACAGTGCCACTTCCGGTTTTCTGGTGGTTTATTGGAGATAGGAGTCTCACGGTCTCTCCTGCCCCTGGCTGGCTTTGAACTGTGTTCCTCAGATCTAAACCTCCTGAGTAGTTAGGATTACAGGCGTGAGTCACCGGTGTCTGACTTTCCCTTATCTTTTTTTTTTTTTTTTTTGGGGTCCCGTGGTGGGGCTTGAACTCTGGGCCTGGGCGCTGTCCCTCAGCTCTTCAGCTCAAGGCTGGTGCTCAACCACTTGAGCCACAGCGCCACTTCCAGTTTTCTGGTGGTTTTTTGGAGATAGGAGTCTCACGGTCTCTCCTGCCCAGGCTGGCTTTGAACCGCGATCCTCAGATCTCAGCCTCCTGAGTAGCTAGGATTACAGGCGTGAGCCACCAGCCTCTGGCTATAATCAGTCTTAAAGGGCATAAAACTTTATATTTAAGCCCACTGTTACATAGAGTTAATTTAACAAATAAGAAGGATTTGTTAAATAAATTTACCATCTACTAAATGGCTCAGAATTTACTTTTTAATACTGAATTGCTCTAGGAAAAGAAAAAGGCTCTTGGTTAGTATTTGAAATCTAGATAGATGGCACTTGAGGAAGACTTACCAATTTAAGCCAGAGACTGAGGAATCTAGGGTCACTATAATAGCGCTTTTCTCCTTGTAGAGCTTCTACAGCCCTTTCTAATAATGTTGACATGTTACTCTCCTTCCCTCCTTGAGGGTAGTTCTGCTCTGTCCAGTTAATATATCTGAATTGGAAGAAAAGGAAAAAAACATATTTTGAGTTGGATGTGTACTTTTCTTCTGGTTTTGAGACCCATGCCACATTTTTCCACAGAAATATTACTGCATTGAAATTAAGTTTTTCTTAGCTAGGCACCAGTGGCTCACGCCTGTAATCCTAGCTACTCAGGAGGCTGAGATCTGAGGACCGAGGTTCATAGCCAACCTGGGCAGGAAAGACCGTGAGACTCTTATCTCCAATAAACCACTAGAAAACTAGAAGAAGCACTGTGGCTCAAGTGGTAGAGCGCTTGCCTTGAGCTGAAGAGTGCAGGGACAGCACCCAAGCCCAGAGTTCAAGCCCCACAACCAACCAAAAAAAAAAACAAAACCAGAAAGTATGTTTCTTAAGCAATCTTTAATGACATACCCTAAGTCTATATCTCTCAGATTTTTCTAAAGTTATCTAAAACATACTTCTGGGGAGACTGGATATAGGTTTAGTAAGGTTTTGCTCAAATGCATGCCATAATCTCTAAACTTCTTCCATTTTTAAATAACTCAGGGAAGCTGAGTACAACTCAGTGCTGAGTGCAGCATTTGCTTAATACATGCAAGATCCTAGCTTCTATTCTCAGCACTTTTTAAAAAACAAAAACAAAAAGACTCAGGGAAACACATTTTAACTTTTTTAGGCCTCTGTACCCCCACAAGACACTACTTTCTACTCTGACACAACACTCTTCCATATTCCCAGTTTGAGAAATAAGTCCATTAGGAATTATCTGTTAATGGTTCTATTGCCCTTGTAAATAAAAATACTCACCTATCCCAAACATCCAGAGGGTCATTTCCAGCATAAAACCGAATTTCAGATTCAAATGCCCTGAAATTTCAACAGCAAATGTTAGTCAGTATGTGCAACACTGATAAAATGAAAAACTATCCCTTCCATATTCATATGGAAGTATTCAATACTGTTCTAAATAACTACACTAGAGTTTGTTCAAGAGAAAGAAAGATAGCCAGGAGCTAGTGGCTCATGCCTGTAATCCTAGCTAATCAGGAAGCTGAGACACTGCCCAGACCCAGAGTTCAGGCCCCACAACCAACAACAACAACAAAATCTTGTTGATAAGAGTTTCACATCTCCAACAATCAATGAAATCCTATAGCCTTTGTTCTTTACACAGTACTTGAGCCCTTTAGAAGGTTGCAGTGTATTGGGAATAGATTTCACGTAGCCTGTTCCCTTCATTTTCTAAGAACATTCCTATGCTATCCTGCATAGAACAGATTCATACTATCTACCACAGCTGAGGATAAGTGATTACAGGTAGAGCCCAAACCATACTACACACCGTTTCTGCTGTTGAAGAGTAGTGTTACAGGCAGATTCCTGCTGTGCCAAAGCTCCCTGAAGTGTGGACATGACCCGGCCCTGCCGTAAAGGTTGTACATTTTCTTTGCTCAACTCCCATTCATCTCCTACCATGGACATGGCTTCACTGTGAAGAAACAAACAAAATAAATCTGATATCAACATTATTATAAAATAGATTGTAGAGGGCTGGGAAGTAGGCTCAGTGGTAGAGTGCTCGCCTTGCATGCCTGAGGCCTTGGGTTCAATTCCTCAGCACCACATAAGCAAAAAGAAAAAACCCCCAAGTGGCGCTGTGACTCAAGTGGCCCCACGACCCGACCCCCCCAAAAAAATAGATTGTATCAATGTTTTCATGTTTTTGTTTTGTTTCATGATTTTTGGATTGCACATGGGGATTGGCACATTATCCACATTATTATACTACTAAGCCTCTGAGCCTGCCACCTGTTTTCTAAATTTATGACTGTAGTATTACATGATAAAGAGAAAATTTTGCAAGAGTTTTGTTGATAGAACTATAAGAGTTAAAGGAAGGAACAAACAAAGCTAAAAGAGCTACAAATTTGAAAAATTAAAAAAGCAGAAGTGCTACCCCCTTTCACTTTGCTAATGGGACTTATATCTTCATTGGTCATTCAAGTAGGGCAAAGGAAATTTCCTTTTTTTTGGTTGGTCATGGGGTTTGAACTCTGGGCCTGGGCGCTGTCCCTCAGCTATTCAGCTCAAGGCTAGTACTTTACCACTTGAGCCACAACACCACTTCCGGCTTTTTTCTTTTTGTTTATGTGGTGCTGAGAAAGAAGGTGTGACTTAAATGGTAGAGAGCTACACAAACACAAAAGGTCAGGGACAGCACCCAGACCAAGTTCAAGCCCCAGAATTGGTAAAATACAGTACTATCTAGCTCATGCCTGTAATGTACTGAGACCTCAAGGATTACTTTGCTAAATCCAGCACTGGTGGCTCAGGCCTGTAATCCTAGCTACTCAGGAGGCTGAAATCTGAGGATCATGATTCAAAGCCAGCCCCAACAGAAAAGTCCTTGAGATTCTTATGTCCAATTAACCATCAGAAAACCACAAGTGTGGGCTGGGAAGGTGGCTCAGTGGTAGAGCACTTGCCTTGCAAGCATGAGGCCCTGGGTCGATTCCCCAGCACCACATAAGCAAAAAGAAAAAAAAGCCGGAAGTGGCGCTGTGGCTCAAGTGGTAGAGTGCTAGCCTTGAGCTGAAAAACTGAGGGACAGTGCCCAGGCCCAGAGTTCAGGCCCCACAACCGGACCCAAAAAAAAAAAGAAAACCACAAGTGGTGCTGTGGCTGAGCTGAAGAGCTGAGGGACAGTGCCCAAGCCCAGAGTGCAAGCCCCACAACAGCCAAAAAAAAAAAAAAAAAAGGATTACCTTGCAGAACAGTCTGAAAGAATCCTTTTCCAATTAAGCAGCAAAGAGCTGGGCTGGCAGAGCCAGTCATGGGCAAAGAAAAACCTCATAGTTCTGAGGTTCTTGAGTTCTAACACAGTATCAAACACACACACACAAGGCAAAATAAAGCAACTGTGGTCTGGCACGGATAACTCAGGCCTGTAATCTTAGCTACTCAGGAGGATGAGATTGTGGATCACGGTTCAAAGTCAGCTCCAGGACTGGAAAGTCGGTAGACTCTATCTCCAAGCAACCACCAGAAAACCGGAAGTGGCGCTGTGGCTCAAAGTGGTAGAGCACTAGCCTTGATTTGAAGAGCTGAGGGTCAGTGCCTAGGCCCAGAGTTCAAGTCCCATGACCGACCCCCCCCCCATAAAAAAGAATGACACTAGTAAGCAACGTAAAGTATGTTTTGTGGAATTCATTTTTATTTTTGCGGGGTGTGTGTGTGTGCGCGCGCGCGTACCTCAGTTTTTGTGCTAAAGGCTAAGAGCTCTACCACTTGACCTACAACACCACTTCCAGCGATTTTTGCCAGTTTACTGGAGGATAGAAGAGTCTAGGAGACCTTCCTGTCGGGGGCTGGCTTCGAACCGTGATCCTCGGAGCTTGGCCTTTCTGAGTAGCTGGGATTCCAGGCGTGAGCCCCCGGGTGCCCGGGCTGGTGGTGCTGGTCGCCGAACGGCCTTGAGTCGCAATCCCTCCATCTCCCTCCGTGGAGCTGCGTGGATTCGCGGGTTCCTTGGAAGCTGTTAAGTTGTCTAACTTCCCCCAGAACCAGCGGTCCGACCCGCTCCCGGGCACGCCCGGCGACACGACGCGCCCAGGCCCG